TCTACTGGTGTATCAGTGCACACAACAACATGTATACCACACATGGCTGGAAGAAACAGAGGGAACCCTGCCATCCACATGCCAGAGAGCCATACAAGCCAGCGAAACAACTCTATTGGGTTTCTCCCATGCTCATCTCCAGACTATAGGCATATCCTAATGGGAGCATTTTAACCACAGGACAGAGGACTGCTCAATCTTTTGGAAGCATCCAGATACTTAAACCAGTGGTTTATTCTGTCATCAATTCAAACCCGATCCAAGGACATTGCAATGCGTATCTGTATTTGATTGCTTTCCTCATTTGTAACTTTCGCCTCTTTCTTTTCTCTTACAAATAAACCTTTAGATAGTAGATAGGAAAGAACTGACAACCATGTAATTTTGGGGTAGGTTGTAAGTTATTGACCTGGATATGTAGCTGGTCCTTTGGCATCAGAAGAATCCTTTGGTTAAACAAACTGGTTTTGAATCACCACTCATTAAGTCTTTTGTCTAGGTGTTTGAAATGAGCACTGGAATACTTAAGAAGACTGCATTTCTGACTGCTGGTTAGCCAGTGTGGTGAGACAGAAGTTTACTTTTGTTGCTGGAGGGGTATATCTTATGGAAAAATAACCACTGGTTTGGGGATGGGCCTGCCCTATATCTTAGCAATGTGTCTTGAATTTGGCATTCCCAGTGTGACCCACTGAAGCACAGCGACACCCCTCCTAGCTGAGCCTCTCAGGATAACTTACTGGCATAAAAATACCCTGTGGGAGGTGGTTGGCTGGCCTGGCCAGGGCAGAGGCACATCTCTCCCTCAGCTTAGAGATGGGGAGGAGCAGGGAAGGCATGTGCCACACAGTGCTCCTGCAACTGCCCAGGGAACCAGAGACAACAACAGAACCCTGTGACTGGCTGCGCCCATAGAGTCCATGTTGAGTAGCGATGCTGAGCACCAATTCCTCAGAGCATGGAGATCCCACTTCTCCAGCAGCCGGGTGCACACAGCTGCCTCTGTCACAGGAGGAGCCACATACTGCCCAGGGGCTCTGCCCAGCTCATGGCAAGGACTTCCCAGAGCACGTGATAAAGTTGTATGATCAGCTATTGCTGCCTGGAGATTGGTTAGTGGGCATCACACAGAGCCCTTCTGAGAACTTGGCCAGAGTGGGAGGAAGCTCTGGCTCAGGGGTGGGGAACCTAAAGTCATGGGGGTGGAAGCCCATCATTGGGGAACCTGCCCAGCACTCCTGCCCTCCACTGAACGCACCAGGCTGCCTGTGACCTGCCCTGGATGGCTGACTGAGGAAGTTAAAAGGCCATTTTTTAAGCCCAGCAGCAATAGTAGCTGAGTGCACAGGGCCACGGCATGGCTGCTTCGTTGCCTAAAAACATCCTGGAGGTGGAAAGATATGTGCCTCCCAGTCCAGATCATTTCTGTCTCTGCAGTGAGTGCTAGGAGAAATGGGAAGAACTCTGGGTCCCGGACAAACACTGAACCCATGTTTATCATCCACTTAAGAGGATATGTTGTGGCTCCTGCTTCATATATGCTTTGGAGAAAAGGATGAGAAAGTCATCAGTCATCTAGAAAAGGACCACACTGCTCTTATGGCCCTGGAGCAGATGAGATAAGGAGGCAAGAGTTTTCTACACCAGTCTTTTCTCTCTGGATTGACCAATCTCTGAGTGGCCCTGCGAGACTGGCTAGAGCAGGGGTGGGGAAACTCTTTTAGGTTGGGAACTGATGACCCACAGAAAAGTCAGTCGGGGGCCACATACAAGTGAGAAGCAAAAAAAGAAAACAAAAAACCCTCACTCATGTGGCCTCCAACTAAGAAGGGGAAAAACATTCCCCACATTTAACAGAGCCTAGTGCTGCCCACTCTAGTAGATTGTGTGTGCTCCAGCCCCAGGGGTGGGGAAACTCTTTTAGGTTGGGAACTGATGACCCACAGAAAAGTCAGTCGGGGGCCACATACAAGTGAGAAGCAAAAAAAGAAAACAAAAAACCCTCACTCATGTGGCCTCCAACTAAGAAGGGGAAAAACATTCCCCACATTTAACAGAGCCTAGTGCTGCCCACTCTAGTAGATTGTGTGTGCTCCAGCCCAACGGTAGA